GGGGGGGGGGCGCTTACCCCCCTCCCCCCTAAATTAGTTCCGCCCATAGTCTCCCATCCTCTTCTCTTCTTTTTTTTAATTGCTGCGTGTCGTGCCTCTCATCTATCATTACCTACACTGGATTATAACTTATTATTTCATCATTATCTCTGCTTCTCTTCGCATTCGTTTTTCCTAGGCATCACGGGCAGTGAGAAACCTCCTAGAAACGAACATGGCGATAAGTTAGCGAGCATAAAACCGATTACTATAAAATATGTGAAGAAGGGTGCGCGGAGACTATGACGAAATATCTCGCGGCCGCACGAATTTGAAGCAGAAGTAAATTCTGATTCGCAACCGACCCGACCGAGTAGCCAGCCGACCGGGCCCTTGCACGGGGCGGCCTTGCGGCCGACGATGAGAAGGGGAGGAGAAATGCGTGCGACCGTTCCGTTCAAGCCGACAAAGACAGCTGCGGAGCAGTCTGTCGCAGTCCCACTTTGACCGCTAGCGCGACGTGGTGGCAGAACGCCGAACATTTTTCTGAAGATCCACCTTAAAAATGAGACTCAGACTCGGACATGCTCAGACTTCCTCTCCTCATTTCTGATTCTGTCTTTTTGATTGCACTTGTCGTTTGTAGTACTTTTGCAGTGCTTTTGCTGTGTTAAGGAATCTACTCGTAGTGAAATGTGTCAATTTTTTCAACTTCCTTTAACAAATCTTAAGTATTTATGAGATTATGCTTTGAAAGTCGAATGCAATTCGTTTCTCGAGATGGTATTATCGCTTCTGTAGTGCTGATAATGACGTGATTGTCAAAGTTTGTGCCTTTTTCGTCGACTGTTTGGACAGTTGCACAGTTGAAATGGCAGAGTTTTCTAATCCTGATTCTTCAAATTTGCCTTTAAATCGCCTAGTTCGTGTAGGCTATTACAAGTTGGAGAGAACTATCGGGAAAGGTAATTTCGCGATCGTGAAATTAGCGACACACGTCGTCACCAACTCTCAGGTAAAGTCCCCTTCAGAACAAGTGTTTTTTTCTGAATGTCAGAGGAATTGCCTCCCTCCACCCAGGCAATCCATGTTTTGGAAGGCAATGGTCCTCACTCCTTTTCTCCCTCTTGGCTGCGGTTTCACATTATTTGGAATTTTATTGCATGTCTCGCAAGCTTCAAGCCGTATTCTTTCATTTGTGAATACGCGAAAGTTGCATACATTTTCAGTCCTTGGTAGTGTATACATCATTGCCACTATCTAGCGATTGTGTTCTTGTGGAGACATGTCAGTACAGTTCGCAAGCCCTTTGTAACTTAATTCCAAAATTTCACTAATTATTTTTCAAGGGCACAGAAAATGGTTGTTTCAGGAACACACATACTTAGTTGTACTCTGAATAAGAGTGATAATGTAACAAAATTGGTGGCTGATAAGTAAACATCGCGCAGGGGATCTTAACGCTGGTATTAGGTACATGTGTGTTGTAATTTAACAACTTTCTTACTGATCGTTTGACTTGTGTCGTGGTGTAAGGTAACTCCGACAGTTAGAGATTTGTGTTCCTATGTCTGGGCATCCCTTCAAATGTGCAGCGCCACTGATTAAGCCCAATTCAAATGGTTCAACTTTTCTTCCAATTTCACCAGATGAAAGTTTTTACGGTGTAATTTAGATAGGAAAAATTTCCATTCCATACAGGCCGACGAAAAGTTGGATGAAAAATTGAACCGTGTGAATCGGGCATCACAGATAACTTCATGAGAGGCTTGCCATTAACTTTAAACTACTCAAACTGGAATTGGAGGAGAACGGGGATTAACCTAAACTGCCCTAGAAGTTCAGCACACAGCCTTTTCTGTGAACACGTCAGATTTTAATCCGTAATTGAGGCATGCAGAAAATGCCCGCTTGCTCAAGTGGAAAGAGGACTTATCTGTGACAATAGCGGATGTGAAAAATTACTTTGCGAAACACATTCAAAAAACTGTTTTGGCATCGAGAAAATTTTGGGAAAATACTTGAGATGTGATCTTAGAGATCTGTACATTATGCCAGAGCCAAATATATTAAATTTTTGTGTGAACAAAACAGTTTTTTAAGCGTGTTTTGAAAAGGTAATTTTTCACATCCGCTATTGTTACAGATAAGTCCTCAAAGGTGAAAAGGCTCCTTAAAGTGCAGTAGGAGGAATGTTTTTAAAATGTAAACATTTTTAGGGGTCTTAAGTTGTAAAAAAAAAAAAAAAAAGAAGAAGCAAAGGGCATTCACTTATGAAATCTAGGTATGAGGGAAATCTTTTGGAAAGTTGATGTGAGAACTGTGCAAAGCCAGTGGGCGGATGCATCCAAACATGACAGCTTGAGAGATCCTGCACCCCTTTGATGGTCTAGAAAAATTGTGAAAGATTTGGAATTCCTTTTTTTTGTGTAGCAAATCATATATATCTATAGGTCGCTTCATAGCACTCCCTCGAGCTCTACGACACCTAACTTCCACTGCTCTCTATTGAACCACAAACCTTGAGGCATTGAGAACCTTTACATTTCTGTTTTAATCCCTCCCTCCAACCTCTCATTGGGCGCCTTCTGCTCCTTCTCTTAGGAGGAACCCAATCAAGGCGTAGCAAATGATACTTTTTATAAATTTGGCCACTATTAATATTGGGAACTAAATTATTACTTTATGCAGGATTACTCCCTCAGGGATAGTATTTTAAAAATGTATAAAGAAAGAAAAAAGGCAGCACAAATTGCAATAAATTCATTACTTACATAAAATGCATGTAATTTTTCTGTGAATACTTTAAATCCTATCTATTATTGTTCAACTCCTGTTTATTGTAGGTTGCCATTAAAATAATTGACAAAACCAAACTGGATGAGGATAATTTGAAGAATATCTTTAGAGAAATCAAAATAATGTCTGTTTTACATCACCCTCACATTATTCGATTATATCAAGTAAGTATTAAATTTCTTTTTTGACTCACTCGGACATTAGACTGACTATCCAGAAATTCTGCTACAATCATGTGGGTTATTTCACACTATCAGGAACACTTGAAATGTGCAAGACCTTAAAAATAGAAGTGCGCCAATCTTTACAAAGCATTATTATTTCATTTGAAAGGTCCGAACTTCTTTTTTTAGCTTTGGCTCAAACAATTTTGATGTAGTACCAACTTTAAATGGTTAAGAAACAAGCCATTAAATCAGTTGTCAACTCCCTTTGCTGGCGGCTCTGTCAAACACGGTGGTGCTGCCAAACTGTGTTGGTTGTAATGGTGGAATTAGTGAAGTAAAAATGATAAAAAAGATTAAAACTTGGTAAGTCTGAGATACGAATGATATGATCAGGAATAAGTGGAGTCATAAATTTTTTTTAATCTTTGGGACTTTCCCCCAGTTTAAGGATGTTAAATTAGGGGCAAATAAATAGTAAATGTAGGGGCCTGAGAAATTAGTGCTACGCACCTCAATATCACTGGTTTTCTCTAGAGAAGAACTATTTCTTGTAAGTGTCGGATTCGGTAAATCCGACCCACCCAAAACAGTTTGTTGAAATGGACATTCGAGAACAATTTGATGACACTTTTAGAACTCCTGGCTTCATATGGTAAGATAAAATTAATTGCTGCAACAAATTGACTGCCAGTGTCGGTGACACGCCTTTTTAATGACTTACCCCACTTAAAAATCAACATCCCAGTTGAATATTACAATTTCCATGAACATTAGAAACCCCTCTCCAAAAAAATGCAGGAAAATCCATGATCATCACTTATTTAATGCAAAAATTATTCTTCTGGGCTGTTCAAGTATTATCTACCCTGAAAATTAGAAAAGCCTGGAGCATGGAGCCTGATGTCTACGGACACTAAACATTGTCTAAAGTTGGCTGAAGGTGCTATAGACACAAAGCCATTAAACCAGCAGAAAAAAAAAAAAAAAAAAAGATGCATCTATAGTATTTTAACTGTCGGTAAGAAGGACCGTCTGATGAGACAAAAATGGAGGCAACTATGGAATGCATTGAAATTACAAAGATGTCATACAAGGGGGGGGGGGGAGGAAAGTTAAGCTCAGTCTTACTTTTTAAAGAAATCATACAAACTTCTAATATTTATTATACAGCAGGAAGATAATTCAACCATCATCTTATTCGACTGCTTGGAAGTCTTTTCTTCTCTTACGCAACTCATCTAAGCAAGCCTAGAAATAGTTTGTTTGATATATTCTTTCTTTTTCCTCGCAGGTCATGGAAACAAACAAAGTCATTTATTTAGTCACTGAATACGCTAGTGGTGGAGAGATCTTTGGTGAGTAACAGCGATGCAGTATTTTATTTCCGAACGCTTTCTGAGAGGCATCAATTGTACCTATCTGTACTCCAATACAATAAGCTGTCAACCAACTTAGCTTAATCATTGAATTAATTTAAAGTCAGTCTCAATCTCCTCACATCAAATTCTTTTTTTTTTCCTTCTTTTTTTTTCGTTCCTCCTCCTACATACGCCCAACTGCCATTATAAAATAAAAAATGTCAGGAACATGCTAATAGCCTCCTACTGAAGAAATTGTTTTTTTCGTCCCTAGACTTTTAAAAAACTCAAAAGACTGTCAACATGAAAGACATGAATTGTGTTTTGTTTATAAATCTCAGATTGAATAATGTGACTCTTAGTTCTATGTTAAGTAGAATCAACTAGTTGTCGAGCAATCAGTGCAAGCTATGAACAGCACATGAGGACTTAAATGTAACAATAGCTGATGTGGATTCTTCACATTATGAGAAAATCACGTTTGAAGTTTCCGAAGCTTTGCACTTTGCCGCTCATAGAACTGAGAGGATTTCTATGAAGATTCTCATGAAGAGCAACTCTTCTCGTAAAAAACACGCGTTTTACAATTAATGAAAGTAAAACATTGAAGGAGTAACAGCGATTTGAAGAAAATGTGACATCCGCTATTTTTACAGAAACCATTTATTTATGCATGAGAGAAAGTCTTCAGGAAGGGTAAGGCTGGTGAAACGATTGAAATGAACCAAAAGTACATATGTCCATGCTGGGTCATAATAAAGTTCAACAAAAAACTAAACCGTTTGTAACTTCTACAACAAAAGTAAGGAACAAATTTTGAAATCAGTTAAAAAATCAACAATTCCGGCAAGACTGCCCCGATATTTATCAATTGAGTGTCAGCTGCAGCCCGTGGCCGGTGCGAGGGCAGTTATTGCAAGTGCGTTCTAATCTCCACGGTTTCCTGCTGCGCCGGCCAGGGAGAACACTGAGAACAGTGGATTTTCATATCTGCTGTTTTTGCAAATAACATGGTTTTCAGTTCATATCCCACCGGAAAATTGCGCTGGAAGTCTGAAACTTTGCACAGGCATTCTTGAGGGCTCCAGAATTAAAAAAAGCGTTTTCCCTTATAATGGCTGATGTCAGCAACCGCTACTGTTACATATAAGTCCTCACATGCTCCTCTTCTGAAATTTTGTTTGATAACTCTTTTGAATATCTAGAGAAGGAACCTCTGTGCAAGACACAGATTTTGTCAAGTGGCTGTCTATTAAATACATAATACTGAACATAGTTATGGGGTGATACGTATTACTAAAGTAAGCATGTAGCGTCAATTTTCTAAAAATTTAAGATAATTCAACCAAAAGTGGCAATTTTTCATCTAAAATTCGTCTGTTAATGCTATTTAAGAGAAGGGGGGTCAAATAGAACATTACGTTAATTATTTAGGAGAGTGCAAACCTATGTAACCTGGAGGAGGGGAGTAAGAAAATTGGATTTTCAGCATTATATATTTTGTTAACGGAGCATCATAAGTATGCACTTAACATTAATAAAATAAGGATCTCAAAGATGTTTATGTTCTTCTTCTGTTTGATAAAACTTAAGTCACTGTTTATTCCTTACGGAATTCCCCCTGTTAACTTACTTTTTTTCTTTTCATCATTTCTCCTATTAAAATTTTGGAATAGCACTGGCATTATCTGTAAGGATAAAAGCTGTAATAAATGGTTAGATTCAATTTTCGATTGTTTGCTCTCAGATCATTTAGTTGCGAATGGAAGTATGAGTGAAAAAGAGGCATGCCGCATGTTTCATCAGATACTCTCCGCCATAAGTTACTGTCATCACAAGAAAATTGTTCACAGAGATATTAAGGCTGAAAACTTACTATTAGATGAAAACATGAATATAAAACTAGCAGGTACGTCAATCCTCTATTATCTATAATACCTACTAATGATATATCTGAAAGCAGAGTTTACATGGGGAGCCTCCCAAGGCTGATCAGGATGAAATTTTTTTTCTTACCCTCTTTGGGTGAATTTATTTTTACACCTAAACCCACTTCGGTCAGTAAGCAGCCTCAAATCTTACTCTCCAATATAAAATTATAAGAGTAATGCATAATGCCTGAGGCCTGAGGCTCAAAGCGCTTCAAAGGATTGGACCACAAAGCAGTCTAAAGGCATATCACTTCAATAACTAACATGTGCCCCATCATTTCCCCTGAAATTTTCTGATCCCAGAAAACCCTGCACAGAAGTACAATAGCTTTTCCTCCTAGCACATTACGACCTTTGATGGACTGATAAACTTTCTATCTTAGGTCAGGCAAACTCCGAGGTACATATTTATACTTGGCACACCCTTTAATCCCCATTTAAACCCTTCAATGATTACATGTGGCTCCATCCTTTGCTGTAACAAAACTCAAACTAGAGAGAGGAAAGGATGAAAGAAAGAAAATAGTTCAGAGCACTCAGCCAAGGATTCCAAATGAGGTCAAAGGTAATTGTAAAGCAAGTCCTCCATTGATATTTCAAAGTGATGCCATGTTTTCTGATCGTGGCTCCTCCAAATTTCATCTATAACCATTGTGGGAATATTTCATCTTGTCCGTAAGGATGGGGAATGCAGAGATTAGTTTTGGTTTTTACTACCTCAAGTAGCCCACAAGGGCTAATCCTGCGCTTTTAATCCTGTCCTCCCCTCCGTCCCTAACAACCAGTTCCAGGCAACTATTGTTTGAGACCATCAACTCGGGCCTCCTGACCGGGAATCGAACCCGGGACCTCCCAATCATAGAGCTAGTGCTACAACCACTACACCGTAGGAGGCCGACAGATGGACGTGTAACATCAAAATTGAAAAGAGCAGTAGAATCTTTGGACTGGCTCCCAGAAATGATGACTAAGTTGAGCCAGCAGTACAAAGGTGAAGGCCAAAGTCCTCTGTTTGACCCAAGTGAGAATCCAATTTGATCTTGTTTTCATCTTTCCTCACAGATTTTGGATTTAGTAATTATTTCGACGATCAGCTCATGTCAACATGGTGTGGGTCTCCACCATATGCAGCTCCAGAGCTGTTCACAGGAAAAAAATATGACGGTCCTCGAGCTGATATTTGGGTAATTTCCAAACTTTCCTCCTTGACTATTTTGCTTCTTCTTTTGTCTCTATTTCAATTTTCAATATGATGACACTTTATGAATAGCAGTGTTTGAATCTTGACAAAAAATCCCACCACTTTCTTGGTTCATATCTTATTATCTAGGGATTGTCAAGGTTTTTGTAGGGGCCAAAATGGTTTTTTCTTAAATAATACATGATGAAAACAGAATGTCTTCTAGCATTTCAAAATCAGGCTTTTCCTGACTGATTACACATTTTTTCAGCTCATTTTCACCCAGTGGATGACTGGAGAAGGTACCAATTCAAGCACTCTAATATGTATCTCATCTTCAAAATTTCATGTAGAACACAAATCGCGCAACAAAAATTACTGAAATAATTGCCAACCAAGATGCTAAGGTTTTTATTCAACATTGGTTGCAATAACTTTGAATTTCCCGCTCGCAAGATAAAGAAGAGTCTGCATGAATCAAATTTGGCACTTGAATGGTTTTGGTAGGCTTTTTAATAAAGCGGTGTTCAGTATGATCCTTTCCCACCCCTTGTTATTCAAAATGTAAATAGCCTGTAACAGCTAATGGGCCTAAGTGCAATCATTGAGATTGCCATATTTTCTTACTGCAAAGACTGTTTGCGGTATCATTTACTGTGCTATTTAACTGAAGTAGATTATGGATTTTTTTTTAATGAGCGGGAAGATTGTGTTTATGTATCAAAAAACCTCATTATACTGGTCAGGCATTACTTTAAAAACTCTTTGTCGCACTAATTCTGTTTTAAAAGAAATTTTGATGTGAAATCATGTATCATAATGCTTGAATTTGCACCTTGTCCAGTGGTCGATTGAATTCTTTTTATGGGTCTCGTTTTAGATTTTAGTCAGTATTGAGCAAAAAAGTTTGTTTAGTTTCCAGTGTTTTTGTACCTAGGGACCTCTGGAAATGCCTCTGGGGCTGAGGATGTGTCTCTTGGAACTGAGTCGCAAAATCATTGTCATCACATTTATGTATCTGACTACCTGTCTTGAAAAAATAAAAGCTAATGAAAAGTTTGGGATTATGCCTACAAATTTGTAAGAGTTGGTGCTCAGAAGATCCTTATTTTTCTTCATTTTTAATTTTAAGTCCAGTAAATCAACTGTACCAGTGCCAGCTTACATGTAGTGTAAAAGTCGTTTTCGGAAGTCAATGTGGGCAGTTAGTGACTCTTTGGAGTTGATTTCCTAACTGTCCTCACAGTCCTCAAATTCGTTGGACCGAAAATTATTGAGAAATAATCCTGGTACGGGTGGTCTGGGACACCCTGTGTATGTATCTAAGTCTCTTGGATTGATTTCCCTTTTTTTACCTTCCAGAGTCTTGGGGTGGTCTTGTATGTTCTAGTTTGTGGGGTCCTACCATTTGATGGCAAAACTCTAGAATCATTACGAACGCGAGTTATCAACGGAAAATTTCGCATACCTTTTTTCATGAGTGCAGGTATTTTGGTTTCATACTTTGTATTCATAGGATCTTTTTTTGCCCCTTTGACAAGATTAAATGTGAAACAATTAAATAAAACATTCAACAATTCATACCAATCTTCTTAAATTTTTTGCAGATTAAACACATCTTTCTTCTAAGGCCATTCCGTGTCCAATATAAATTAAGTGAAAATTAATTTTGTGTAAATTATCTTCATAAATTTTTTGCAGATGAAACACATCTTTCTTCTAAGGCCACTCCATGTCCAATATAAATTATGTGAAAATTAATTTTGTGTAAATTATTCTCAAACCAAATTAACTCCAAGTATTACAATGTAACTAACATCAATACTTGAAATGTTGTATCATCTTTTATTTTCTTTTTTCCTGTAATTTTATTTCTTACTCTTCTTACTTTTATTTTTCATCAAGAAATAAATTAATCAACTTTTTTTAGTTTAACATACCCTTGTTTGAAAAAAAAAGAAGCCAAATGGATTGCCCAGAAAACCCAATTGTCTTCAAATTTCTCTGTCTTTTTTGAGATGCCTGAGACTAATACTTTCATACTATTTTTTTCAGACTGTGAGCATTTAATTAGACATATGTTGGTTGTGGATCCAGAAAAAAGATTAAGTATAGCTCAAATACGGAAGCATCAGTGGATGGCTAGGCTGAAGGTTAGAAATTTTTTGGTTTTTTTTTTTTATCTCAGTTTTTTGGGTTTTTTTTTATATTTATTATTTTTTTCCTCTCATAAAGAAACAGTCAAAATGCTGCAGAGTAGTCTGGAAGTCATCCATGAATGGATTGATATTGATAGGACTGTCATAAACTCTCCCAAATCAGAGGACATGGTTTTCACATGCAGAAAGTACACTCATATCCCTTCAATGCTGAATGGATGGGCCGTATCATGGTCAGACAAGGCTAAATATCTTGGTTTTATCATGAAAGCCAAACGAAAATTCAAAGAATATATTTTAACGAAATGCAAATGATTAAAACTCACTTAATCCATAAGCTTCAAATTGTAAAAACTACGATTTGCTTCAACATTTGTAGGCTCTTTTTTTTGTGATAAAATATTCGTAAATCACACTTGAGTAGCAATATCAACATGTTGGTGTTGATTTTTTCCTGTACTAAAGTTCATTGTTTATAGAAAGCCACATCAGCAAATCATTAATATGAAGAAAAGGTTTAAATCATTGCAACCCACCCATGTCCCTTGCTTTAAGAAAAACTCAAAACAGCTGTAAAACTACATAATATTTAGACAGTAAACTCTCAATCTGTGCATGCAATCTTTTGAAAATTAATGAAAATACACAATTAACAGGTAGCCATTCAATGAAGGGGAAAAGGTGAGTTGAGTCCCAAACGATTTTTTGAGGGTAAGTTGAGTCCCGTCAATTAATCACCCATAGGTAAATTGAGTCCTGTCAACTAATCACCCATAGGTAAATTGAGTGAACAGTGAATAGTAGTGGAAATAAATAAAAATACGAAGGCATCGTCAACATCTCCTTCACTTAAAAATGGCAAGCCGAAGAAATATTTTAAATAATTGCTGAGTTCAGATCGAGAGTCTTTATACACTGTCGCCAAGCTGCACTTTTGTCTGTGGCGCCACCAACTCTGCCCAAGATGAAAGCGACATCCCTTAAGTCTAACATTCGGCCATACTCAACGAGCTGCTTTGTGTATACCTTCTTCGAAGTCCAAAAAAACTTCTTTCGGTTGGAACTTTAAACCTAAGTATTCACAGCGCTTGACGACAAACCGAAGTGCTGTTGCGTACGTATCAGTTTTTTTGTCAGGCAATAACAAGAAAACCAATGGAACAAATCGACCTTTATAATAACCATGAATCGTGAATATTTGCAGATGAAATTTAAGCTTTTTACAATCACTTAACTTCACAAAACATTTACTTCATTTCTTGCCTCTCACGCACACTCTCCCATCCTCACACATACAGTGATAATGCTACCGGGACTCAATTTACGTACCACCCATTAGGAGTCGGGACTCAATTTACCTTCTCCCCTAATGACCTCAATGCATTGGGACTCAACTTACATTCGTCCCAATGAAGAACATACCTATGTTGTTTTTTCCTGATGATGTTCAGTCATTGCATGTTTAAAGGACATTTCTCTTCTGAAATAATAACTTTAATGTTAAATTGATTGTTTGTTGAAAATTTTCAGGATGATTCAGAAGAATTAATATGGGAGGATAAACCCTGTACCAACCATCCTCCTCTAAACCAATCTGTGATACAGCATATGTTACAGCTTCCTGGACTTGATAGAGAAAAAATTATAAATGTAAGTTGGATGAACAATCAGGCAAAGTGTTTTAGTTGGACATCCGTGGTTTACACCACCTTTGTACCTCGTGTATCCTTAGCCGCTTGGAGAGTCTATAGCTCAAATAAAGATGACAGAAAATTAGTCAAAACCTGAGCAATTACTCAAGTCTTCAGTTCAGATGTTATGTTTTTTACAACTTCTTTATATCTAGCTCCTTCTACGAATATTTGAATCTTAACTGTCTTAACCTTTTCAACTGTATGGTCCTAAATCTAGTTAACTTTTGAACTAAGATGAAAGGATCATGTGTGTCAGATTATGGGAATCGAAAATGACATCATATTCGACGTCATGACTAGACAGCTTGTCTGGTCTGGTCATGTCAATAGAATGACGGATGAAAGGCTGCCAAAGAAGTTGTTTGATTGGGTTGCTCCTGGGATGTGACAAAAGGGACGCCCAGTGAAAGGGTGGCAACAGGGGGTTTTGGAAAAAATGAGGGTTTGCCAACCTCCTGAACCCCTGGCTTTGGGAGGATAGGGGACTTTGGCGGCTAGGTGTTGCAGAGCGCCAAAGAGCGCTATAAAAGCGGCTTTATACATACATGAAAGGATCATCAATGCTCATTTTAGTTACAAAATTAAAGCATAAGTCTCAGTTCTCTTGTCACATAGAACAGGAAACCACAACAGCTAAGCATGTGTATAAATTTATATGTATCATTATTTTTAAACTATTATGTTTCTTTAATTTTCAGTCCGTTCAGCAGTTACAATTTGACCATATAAGTGCCATTTATCATTTAATTGTAGATAAACTGCAGAAAAATGAATCAAAAACACCAATCAATAGTCACAAGCATGGTAAGTCTGCATTTAAGTCTTGCATTTAATTACTAAGTGTCCAGTCTCTTCAAAGTGTCTTTGTGACATGTTTCACCATTTAACCAGCAATTAAATCAGCTTATGTGTTGAATATCAGATGCTCATTGCTTTGTTTTAAAAGCTGTGGTTTTTTCTTTGTCCTGCAATACTGATGACATATGTTAGTACCATCCACAACCTATCAATATTACTTGCATCCAGGCCTGCCACATCCCATCTTGGGCCCCGGTACAAATTCTAAGGTCCAAGCCCTGTGAATGCCACCTCCCCTTCTATCCACCCCCATACCACCAGAAAAACAATTTGTTATATCATGAAAATCAGAAAGGTTAGAATAAAGATGCAGTAAATAAAGTAAATAAATGCTCGTTAATTTTAAGGAAAGAAGTTTATTCACATTCAAAAAACAATTTACACACTAAAATCTTGTATATAGGTAGAAATCTTCAAATAAGTAAGAATAATTCAACGTGTCCCAGCGTACTTTTGAAAATTTATTGACCTTCTGCGAAATTTTCAGGGTTTTTTCACTTCTCCTTGGGAGACTAGGGTTTTATGTGAATTCGAAGTAGTGTGTCACAGGCGGGCCCAGGTACCAGGGACCCAGTATCCCCATTCTTGTGGCGGGCCTGCTTGCATCTGTTCATAAGTGTATTACAAGTTGCTTTTAGGGAGGATTAATAGAGCTGCACCTGTGGTACGTTGCATTTGGTATGTCTATGCCATGATAAGAGGAGGGAAGGCATGAACTTTATGGTCATCCATAAAGGTCACGTTAAGTTCCAAAAGTTAATTCTCTCTTCCACCTTATCATACACTAGGCATGTACCCCTCTGCAATATTACATTTCTCTGTGTTAGGCTTTCTCCCTCTTCTTTCATAAAAAATCAGCATTTTTGGTTGATACATTTATCAAAAATTTTTATTGATTTTGGCGTGATGTTTTCCAGTGTCAGAATTTCTCCTCCTCCCCCCCCCCTTCCTTCTACATGATGGATTTAATGAACGGCCCTGTAGCTCTAACTTGCTTCTGATTAGTGTGTCCAACTTTTAAGTCGCAGACTTGTGTACAGAGCGCACTTACTAGAACTCTGTCAATGTGTCAGTAAGTAATTTCCTGGCTGCTACGGCACAATTCTAGGGGTGTTCAAACGAATTCTTGCCGGAACTCTTTCGATATCGTCTCTTATTGAAACTGGCGGCAGTACCGACAGTGGCGACGATATCGACAACAGCCAGCCTTATCGGATTTTTGAGAGCTCGCACTCAATGCATTGTTGCCCCTTGTGTCGGTTTATCAGATTGCCTGGCGCGGCGGCGCATGAAATAGATGTACACACGGCAACAGCTTATTTTCGCCAGCTCCGAAAACTCTGATCGCTATCGGCAAGAGCGCTCTTATCGTAACTTTTTCTTAACGGAACTGTTTCGGTAGCTTACCGACAACCGATTGAACAGCCCTACACAATTCAGGGTCTTTTTTTCCTATGATGCTTTGCTGTAGCTGCTGAGCTCATACCTATTTGTCACTACCATGCATTCATATGTACATTGATGTCAAGCATACTTTATGTGTGTGCGTTCATTACCAATATTCTGATTTTCAACCAATGGATCTCTTTGATGTATCCATCATTTTATGATTTCTTTGAACTTGAAACCACTTCAAGAAAATTTTTAGTCTCCAAATTCAGATAAATAATTCTCTATACTAACAGATCAAATGCTGAATGTATAATAGTATCCATTGATGTGGAGTGGTATTTTATTCTTGATCAGTTTTATTCTCAGATTAGAGTTGATATTTCAATTGTCTCGTGCTGTACTTGTTGTAGATTCGACAGAAGGGTGTGAAGAACAGGGATTTAGTATGCCTCTAGTATCAATGCCTATGTTACCACATCTAAGTATGGTGCAAGATCCTCAACTACTGGAAAAGGTAATTTTCTTCATTATTGTCAAAGTTTGCCCTAACACAATAAATTTCATCTCAGCTTGAGGCGCAAAATCAAGAGACACTACAAGCTGATATCTAAGAATTCATCCTCTCTGTATATCTGTTTCCATTCTATGATGTTTGCCTCAGTTCTCTCATTTTTTAGTATCAACACTCCCCCCCCCCCCCCCCCCNGCAAACCAAAGCACTACATGTAGTCATTGAAGTGTAAAAAGACACCTTTTAAGCACCGTATATACCCGCAGATAACCCGCCCCTTTTCTTCCTATTTCAATGCTCAAAAATCAGGGTGCAAGCTATCTGTGAAACTCACTGAAATTGCATACCTATCAGGTGCTACTTGACAATGCGAGCGAAACAGACCACCAGGGGCGTGTGTGGGTTATACGGGAATTTTTTTTCTTTGACACACTCAAAATCTGGGGTGCGGGTTATCTGTGGGCGTACACAGTACTATTATCTGAAGAAAAAGTTGCAATACTGTTCTTAATTGAACTGAATTTTCCATATAATTATAATTCTGGTCTATAAGGAAACCAGGCTCATTTTTTAACCATTCAAATATGAGAAAGGAAAGAAAATTGCAATTTGATCTCAAGTTTTAGTGTATTTTCTGAAGGAAATACGGGTGAAATTTGAGCAAAATCGGCTGAGCCGTATAAAAACGGCGATCTATGAAGTTTAGACGGCGCGGCCGTTTTTTATATTTTTTCTCAACTTTGATCTAAATACTGTTCCTACTGGTACATTGTGCAAACTTTTTTCATGAAAAATTTAGCTTGCATCATGCGGAGAGAATGTAGCTATAATTAATCGATATTGCCGCTGAACGCAATCTGCAACAAAGTTCTGGCTGATCCTAAAAAAAGATTTGAATACACAGAGGTATATAGTACACAGTTGAATATGGTGGGACATATTTTTTTGGGATGATTTCTGCTTTCAAATCGATGAGATGGTCCAAATTGTAATTTTATCATATCCAAGCACAATCCCTTTTTTAAGTATTTGTCGGGCTGTGAAATTGTAATTATTGGATGATACAATGGCTCTTTGTTATAATTGATACTATGGTGGTCAATTACTGCAAGTATAATGATACCCTCCCAACCATGTGGCGATCTGTGTCGGAGGTCTGCGATGGATAGTGGGAATTTCTTACCAGCATATAAAACTGTAAATGCATTTTAAAGTTATGATAATGCTACAGAAATTCAACCCTCTTATTTGCATCAGCCATTAAACTCCTGATTTTTTGTTGGTTGCCCAATAGTAAAAGAAATCCAGATTCATTTTAAAAATACTCAAGTGTAGTCCTCATTTTGTCTCGTTTATGGAAGCATTGATCTTCAATACTGTTAGCTTGCAGTTGGTCAGATGTCTAATCATTTTTAATGCACTGTGTTCTAGTTTGGGGATGTTGACATTGAAAGTGATAAAAAAGATATTCCAAATAGTGTGGATGATAAATATCAGCTGACTACTAGGAGACATACCGTTGGCCCTGGAGACTCATGTCATACTCAGGTAAATTCACAATTTTTTACTGCATTTTGCACTGCTTTTCTCCCATTTTTATTTTCTATTTCCGCTCTTTTTTCATTATTTTCTTAAAGAACTGTCTTCGTAAGCAATTTTTAATAGTGTAAAAATTCAATTACAAGTTAAAATTTTCAATTTTAAAGGAACTTGGAATTTATTACTAGTATGCTGTTCATGTTTTAATGCGTGTGGTTTTCTTTTACTCTTTAGTTACTGGAAACTCATTATTTGACTTGTGGTCAGAGAGAAATTCCCAATATCCTGCCAAATACAAATTTACCTCTGAATTTACCTCTTGTCCAAAATCAGCCTCCACGAAATTTCACAATCAAAGACCAGCACTTGCTCAAACCTCCACCTGTCATGGGTGCCAGTGAGTACAATTATTTAATCCACAGTTTTTTACTCACCATTTCATTTAAACTATTGATTAAATAGAGTGTCTACTAGTCTAGAAAGTCTGGAAATACTGATTACTGACCTGGTATTGATTTTTTCAAGGCGGTATAGAGGTACTGCGAAAGTACAGAAATCTTGTAAAAAGGTCTGTAATTTTTTTTCTTTTGCCGTGCTGTTTTTTCAAAACAGCCCAGAAAGGTTGTGCAATCCCTTGCACATCGATTTTAAGTGCAATATTTGCCCACTGGACTACAATTGTGCAATGAGTTGATTTTCAGGCTACTAATAAGCTTTGAATTTCTTGGCTACATTATTTTCACGACTCTGGCATGAATTTCGATATTTTTTTAATTTTATTACATGATGGCTCTGCTGAAAGACTGATTTTTCTACTGATGAGGTACTGAATTTTTTGAGAAGGACTGTAAAAGAACTGATTTTTTGCTAGCCAGTTTTAGGAAACACCCCACTCAAAGCAGCAAAAGTCCAAGGGCAGTTTTTCTTTTTGGCCAGCACTCAAGTTTCTCCAGAGGGAGATGTAAAAAGAATAACCTAAATTAATAAGTAACCTCTTGAACTATCACTAATTTTCTTTACACATGATGATTTTGATTGATTTAAAGCCTTGATTTTTACAAGAAAAAGAAAGGAGGAGGGAACATATGTTTGAAAACCATTTAAATCATATGCAAGAAAAAGTTTGCGAAAGTCTACGTTTATTATTGGTAGGTTTTCATCTTTCTTTTTCTGTGCAAACCTGGTCATCAGTGATGAAGGAAAACTGCCCACGGACGCGGGAAATTTGAATAAGCATGTTACAATCTACCAAAATTGCACTTTGAAGAGTGAATTTCTGATTTTTCTGATATGCCCATTGTGATATTTGAGTGATTTCGCCTACAAAGTGTCTACTTACTTGGCTGCACCTCTTGTTTGCAACAGACCTACTGAAAATAGCTTTCTCTCACAATTTATTTTCTTCAACTGGAATCTTCATAACAGCCATAGCTACAGTTTTCTTTGACATTTTTCCAGGTTTTTGTTCAAAATTGTTGCTAGAACACTGGTCTAGACTCTTGTATTGATATTTTAATTTTAAGTTTTTAGGGACTAAGGTCCCTTTTCCTGTAAATTTGTTATATTCAGCAGGAGGATTGTGTAAGTTTTACTCTTCGCAGTGGTGAGCTTGTGAAATTGTTTCATTTTTCATCAGTAGCTTGCTATTGTAAGTAACCTCTTTTAAATGAAACTAAATATTTCCAGATGCAAATGGTTTTGGGAGACGCGCTTCGGATGGCGGTGCCAATCTCAAGATGTATTATCAAAGATTGGATGGTGTTTGCAGTCAGCCCGGTAGTAACGAAGAGCTTCAGCTGGTTTGTATCAAATTTTATCTAAATACATTTGCTTTACTATCATGGTTAGAGACCCTAGCATTTATTTAGCGCCATTTGCAAGAATTTTTAAATCCTGTTTTTAAGCTCTGGCATGATCTTGAAGTTTGGCTGATTTTGGATATGTAATAAGAATTTCGTTAATTTTGGAATTCACCGCAAATTTCGAGAATTTCAGCAGCTGATGAAAATTTGGCAGTATTCACCACAAATTCGAAAATTATCGGAGAAGTGATCTTTTTCAAGTTCGGCGACGTGGAGTTTTTAGCAAGTTTTCACTTTCGAATTTTTTTTTCTTTAATTTACTTACTTTTACTTACTTATTTGCTTACTTTCTGATCTTAAGATCCTGTTGTTTAATTTTTATTTATTTAAGAAAGAGTTTCTAAATGTACCTGAAATTCTTCAATTCCCTCTACTTTTGTTTAAAATAAAGAAAACAATAATAAAATGCACTAAATTTTAAGAAAAAATTATCAGTTTCTAGTGGAAATGGTGGGATTCTCAGATTAACTTTTAGGTCTTTCAGCAAGTTTTTTAGGATTTATTGCTAGAATTTAGGCCGTGCAGAAAATTTAAAGCAAGAATTTGGCAATTTTCAGCAAGAACTTGAGTCGCTATGTATTACAAAAAATGGGATCTCTACATATTGAGTGGCTCCTCAATCGTGAGCAATTCCAACTTCATAGGGTCAATATTAGTTCGGAAACGGACAAAAATAGGCTTGCAGAGTTTTGTGCAATAACTGAGCTAAAAATGGTGAGCGCAAAAAGATGATGAAGGTGCATCACAACACATAGGTAAATCGTCGCAAACCAGTGAAACTTCCTTTACCTTGCACTCTTGGTAACTCCAGCCCAGCGCATTCAAAATCTCCAGGATTTAGAGGGCTTAAGATTTTATAAGATAGAATTTACTAACTTGACACTCTCACTTTTCAGCAGCCAGGAAGTCCAACAATTGCGCAAAGGTCTCAGCCATTGAATACTTCTGCCATTCCTAGTATAGAGGCTATCTCACAAGTCAGTGCTGATTTAATAGGATCTAATTCAGAAGACGTGTCTCCAGAATTACTTTCCAGGTGTGTCAATAACTCTCTTTTTCTCGTGTGGTCAATACTACTACATATCCTACATGCGTGATAATATTATCCTTCACAACTGTGCATTTTCATGAGGATGTAAGCAAAGAAAAAATTTTGAGAAATAAATATCCTTTACCTATAATGCTCAAGTTACCTTACATCTCAATTTAAGGCTAGGTGCACTTTACTTTTGATTAGGTTGGATCAGAAATGCAAAATTCCATCAAAATTATGAAATTTTTGGCAATGTACTCATTCTGAGGATCTAGAAATGCGGTGAAACAGTGGTAGCCCAACTCTCAAATTCTGTCCTCCTCCCTTCACTCTTCTCATTCAATCCTCTTGGTCCTGATAACCCAGTGCTACAACTTCTTCCGAGTCCTTAATGTAGCCCTTTTTTAAAAGGCTTCTTGGTTTTATAGCGTAGTTGTGTAATTAATGGAACTTTAATCGTAATTGCAATTAACTTTTTTACTTTTAATGGTAATCAGATTGAAACACCTATGAGAGTTAGTTTAACTTCACTTAAAATAGGTCAGTGACCTAAAACTTCTGCAGAACATCAACAACGTGCCTTTCACATAAACTTACATTGAAAAGAAAAACGAAGAAGTTCATTAAAAAGTTTAAAAAAGCACTTCTTATGGGAAGAAAAGCTGATATAATAGCGGACCAACTAAAGCCTGACGGTTGTTATGATGTAACTAGGCCATGTCTTTAAATGTGAATGTGGACTGAGGATTTGCCTTGGCAGAACGCCAAAAATATCATTTTAAATGGGTCCAGATTTTGGTGACTTCAAGAATCAGTAAAAAAAAATAATTATCAAAACTGAATCAAAATTTTCAAAAAAAAATTTTTTTTGAAGATTCTTTCAATGCATGTACAAATATATTAATTGTAGAATCACTGTCCTTCCATTGTGGGGAGGGAGGACAGTGCTTCTACTTGTATCAATTTTTTTTTGGGGGGGGGGGCGTGTCCTATACCTGGTGTTCCAGAGCACCTTTGCACTATCTTTTTTTCGGAAACGGCCGAAAATTGAGCTTTGGGACGAAAACTTCTAAGGGTATGTAAATCACCCCGAAGAATTCAATGAAAATATTTTCAGCTCCCAAAACCCCATTTTGGGGGGTTTTTAAGGGGGCGCACCCCGTTTCTCGCGTATTTCAGATAGGAGGGGTATCTTTTGAGTTGGGATTTAAATTCTACGGCCAAAAATAAGAACTTTCTGTTCTATTCACTTTTTCCCTAAACCCCCGTTTTTTGGAGTTACAGGGCATTTTGGGGAATTTTTTTGGGCTAAATTCAATCAGACACTGTAGGCGTTAAAATTATCCAATTTTCAAAATTTAAAAGTCTCCCAAGAGAAGAGGTCAATAACTTTTTATTGATGTGGAACCTGACCCCTGTTGATCCAATAGTATGAGGACCATGACCCCCCGAAATTTTTGGGGCTTTTGAGAGCTGTAAGTCGAAAATTTCAAATGGCAAGGATATGTTTTGCCTTAAGATCTGAATTCTACGCGAAAAGTTACATAGAACTGTTATGGCGCACGGCCCATTTGCCTCATTTTTGTGGTCCCCTTTTCCATCCAAAAATACACGGCTTCTTATGGGGAAATGGGGTTCTAAAGTAAATTGGAGCAAATAGGCCGTGTGCCATAACAGTTCTATGTAACTTTTCGCGTAGAATTCAGATCTTAAGTCAAAACATACCCTTGCCATTTGAAATTTTCAACTTATAGCCCTCAAAAGTCTCAAAAATTTCGGGGGGTCGTGGCCCCCATAATTTTGGATCAACAGGAGTCATGTGCCACATCAATAAAAAGTTATTGACCTTTTCTCTCAGGAGACTTTAAGTATATTTTCCGAAGGGAAGATACACTATTGCGTTCTCCCTCATGGTGGGACCTAGACCTGGGACCATGTAAAGAGCACCGATCTCAAGTCGTAGATCACGAAAATATATGTCATTCATTTTGTTATATATATATATACATACACACACATATATATGTATTTCAGCCAGCATGAGGATTTTTCAGTTTTCAGAGCTTTGAGCGGCAGTTAATTTTTAAGTTTCTTGAAACAAAACTTCTGAGGTTTATAGTCCCCTAAGAGTACTTATAAACTGTGAAGAAAAAATCGGAATAGGTTAATTACTTTTTGCACAGCGAGGGGTCAAAGTGGGGGGAGGTTTAATTTTGTCCACGCGATAACTCGAGTAAAAATGAATATTTTGAGCTGAAATTTTGATGGTAGTTAGAGATCTACTAAGACTGGTTTCCTATTGAATTTCAGCGAAATCGGCCGACGCGTTCCATAAAAGTGGCAATTTACCGTTTTACGGGTGGNGGGGGGGGGTTGCGTGAAAACTCGAGACATAATGAATATTTTGGACTGAAATTAAAGATGCACTGGTGACTCAATGATGGATTACTGTTTATAGTTGTTCTTACATGTTTTTAGTGCATTTTCCGAAGATACAAAAATGAGGGAATGGATTGGTCTGACTTCAGTATAAATCATAAGTGGGATCCAGGGTCAAGTTTAATCAGCCAAGGGGAACTGATTCGTGAAACATATCTGCGGCAAGAGGGGATGGGTAAATGATTTTCATTCACCAATGTGACGCTACCCTTTGGAAAATACACTCATGCCGCGGTAAATGCGCGGACTACAAAAAAAACCGTCCCCTACTTGCCGGCAACCCCATGGAAAATCCCCTGCCGCTTGCAACAGGGTTTTTAGATTTTGAAAATTGGATAAATTTAACGCCTACAGGGCCTGATTGAATTTGGCCCACAAAAATGCCCCAAAATGCCCCGTAACTCCCAAAAAACGGGGGTTTAGGGTAAAAGTGAATAGATAGAATTTAGATAGATAGATGGACGGACGGACGGACGGACGGACGGAATTTATTAATGCATACAGCCTATAGTAAACAGCTCTGGCATAAGTCAAATACAATTTATACAATAATTACAACAATTTAAGCAAAATGAACTTATACAGGTTCCTCAAAAAATTCTTTTAAATTATGATAAGCTTTATTTTTTTTGTTTTGTTTTTTAATTCAATAGATCAGAAAGTTCTTATTTTTGGCCGTAGAATTTAAAGCCCATGTCAAAAGATACCCATCCTACCTGAAATACGCGAGAAACGGGGGGCATCCCCTTAAAAACTTCCCAAAATGGGGGTTTGGGGAGCTGAAAATATTTCATTGAATTCTTCGGGGTGATTAACATACCCTCAGAAGTTTTCGTTCCAAAGCAAAATTTTCGGCCGTTTCCGAGAAAGAGGTTGTGGAAGAATGCTCTGGGACACCCGGTATAATAAGAATATTCAAGTTCTTAAAAATTGTATGAAGGTTGAAAAAGCAAGGCAATAAAATGTAAACGTAAGTGAACTATAAATCAATTATGTATCCTAATACAGAAAAATAAGCAACAAAACTTTAACATACTTATTTAAGCCCTTAAATTAAAATTTGTTACATCACATTATAAGTTTAACTAAAAATTTCAAAAAAAAAAGTCTTAACATTTTTCATAATTGAGTTTTCCATCATTCTGAGAAGAGTTCTAGAAAAATTACAGGAAGCACGACTCTCTTAGTACTATCAGAAAACAAATTAAAAAAAAGTTTGCACCACTAGCTCATTTTGAATTTGAAACTTCTGCCGGGTTCTTTCAATTTTGTGTCTTTCCACAGTAGTTTCTTGATTGCCTTCAGTGGTAAAATTTGCAATAAATATGTTGACAACTTTGTGAAAGTAGCCTTACCGTAAGTGTACCAAAGTTTAATGTTGATGAAGAGTTTTCAGCTATTTTTGGTTGCAAAGGCAACCTGCATTTTCTATGTTTATTAAAAAGAAAATAAGAGGAAAATTTTGTGGTGAAGAAGTTGAAGGCAAAATGCAAAAACAATCATGAGAATTTTATATGTTTCCAGGTACATACAAAATTGCGGTGGCACTAAAAGACATTCCTTAGGTTTAGGTTGCACAGAAGAAATTTTAGGGCAGCATCAGTCACAGTCTACTTCAAGGACCCGTCGCAGCGGACTTCTAACTGTTACCGAACGACCTCCAGGTGTGTACCTCTGATTAATATCCTCTTCATCTGCGTCTTTTGTCTTTGTAGCTTTCCTTGCTTATTTTGTTAGCGTAAAAGTTTGATTTTGTGTTGTAATTCTAATTTTTGAAGTTTTGGTTTTATTTTCCGTATCAAAGTCAGTTTTAATTAAATTTCTCACCCTTAGTCCTTCCACCCCTCTCCAAAATATTTACCTCAAACTTCAGTGCATTTTACAAATGCTCATGTTCATAATTCACATAACTGAGAAAAATTTTCACGACAAAATTTTTAAATTTTTTGAAGTAATTCACAACTTTTAATGCTAATTATCATCTCCATTAGGAGAAAATGCTTTTTGTCAAAACCATGGGATTTTCTTGTAAATTAATCTCATTGGTCAACACCGATGGCTACTTAAATGTATGATGCAGCAAATTTAGTTTTTGCGATTGATTTTGAAAAAAATATATACCAAGATAATCTCAGTCGATCCCATGATTGATGGTTTGTCTCATAAATAAAACTGTTTTTTAAGAATTTCTGCAACCATTCCTCACAAACTGAATGACGATTTAGCTCCCATTCTGGTCAACAATTTTACTGTTCAACCTTTTGTAATCTTGTCCTTTTTCACCAACGTTGGCTTTACTGAGTACATCCAAGACAGAAAGACCCTATGCACCAAAAACCCGCTGAAATCCCCCACTTCATTATTCAATGAAACTCATACTGGTGATAAAGGGCTAATTCTGGCTTCCATATCTGTAGTTAATTTTCCCCCAGCTGCCTGAGTGCAATGTTGCCATTTTTGGCAACCTGGCCTTTGTTGGCCCTTGGAAACAATATCAATCACAGATTTGGCGGTCAGAAGTAGCATTTTATCACTAGTATGAATTTCATCAAATTTTGAAGTGGTGGACTTTGGCAGACCTGTGCATAGGGTCCTTTTCCTCCAGAATTCCCTCTCCCTCAGAAATTAGTTCCATTTTGCGCTCGGTGAGGAAATCTACCTATCACGTTAAAGAAGATTATTTTCATCTCCCTACAAGAGTTATTTAGAGCGTTTCTTGTGTTCTTGTATGAAGTTAAAGTTGTAGTCACAGTAGGTGGAAATGGGGTCGTGACTGCTGTCATATGACATATATTGATCAAGCTATGGATCAAGCTATCATTATCTATCAATATGGGAAGGTTCCTAAACCCAAATTTTTTCGGCTGTGGCTGGTTTCAATTTTGGTCAACTTAAAGTCCATAATCAATTAAATTGCGCTTAAACTATTCTTGATTCTTTCTGAAATCTATCAGCAAATTAGACCTGTCTGTGAATTCTCCGTTACATAAAGCAAGCACCAGCGAGTAGAATCAAATAAGTTTTGCTCTTGAAGCCATCGTTTTTTAAAAAAGTGACTTTAGTTATTTTAAAACTTCAGCATGTTTTCTGAAGTCTTCATACTCTTGGAAAGTCGATTTTAATTGTGGTCAATCTTCGTTTTCAACAGAAATTTTTTTTGGCCTCTTTTATCACTGGAAGTTAAATTTTTTGTCCGTACCGTAGACCAACTAAACAGGCTTGTTTTCCTATCAATACGTGCGATAATAATACCGTTTTAAGTTTTTTTGCACTCATAGAGCTATATTCTTGTAGAAGAATAAAACAAAATATCCTTCAAAGTTTTTACTTTCAAATTTAGCCCCCAAATTGCTCTAAAGTCCGATTTCTAGAATTTTGCGCCATCATTTTTCTCCTAAAAAAGCCAGGAAATGTAATTAAACGCTTAATTTTAATTAATTTCTTTAGAACTAACTTAGAAGATGTGGTAGACAACTTTTTTTAAAGAATTTCTACAGATTTGCTCTTTTTAAAGCTACAAATTGTACAATTTTTTACTGGTCTACGGTACAGGACAATAACGTTACGGTACACAAACGGGCTACGGTAAGGACGAAGAGGCATTCGTAAATATTACTGTATGCAAGGGCCGAATTATAAAGAACTGAAATTCATTGGGGAATAAACTGCTAAGTTATAGCATAGCTTATAAGTGCCACTTTTATAAATAATTACAGGCAATAAAGGTAAAAAGAGTAAGTAAATCAGTTTTTCAAAAATAATGAACTGCTTTTATTTTAAAGTAAACACATTAAATAATTAGGGACAAATCTTAGAAGCTGAGTTCTTAAAACAAGCTTGACAACGTTAGAACGTTTTAGGTGCACTTTTACAAAATAAGAAAGAAAACAAAAAGGTAAATTTATCGAAAATGTGGTCACAAATCACCTTAAATAAATATTTAAAGGACGATAAGAAAAAAATAAGTTAGATATTAACGAATAAATATTAAACGAATAAATTGCTATGAACTTCAGACGAAAAAGAGGACTCAAAGTTCTAAAAGACAAAATGAAAAAAATAAAAAGATGGCGATCCTTATGCAATCATCGAAAAAAAAGCCTCCTTCTTCTAAGTCGCGTCGCACTAAAAAAAAATACGTCTCCCTTTTTTTTTTAAATTCCAAATTTTGGTGATAGATAAAATAAAGTAAAGTGGGATGATCTATCAAACAGCGCACCGATTTTTAGATGATTTTCGCATTTTGTCCGTACTTACCGTAGACCCGGCCGCATCGCGCGTCAGCTACGGGCTACGATACCGGACGGCTACGGTGCGGACAAATCGTGTGATTTTTGGCAATGGTGCTCGCCGAGCACCATTGCCCATTGCCACCACCATTGCCATATGCCCGAGCACTGCTCGGGCATATCCACGCATGTGGTTGAAATTCTGGATTTGAGGTTAAGATATCAGAGCGTATCAAAAAATACCAAAATTCGAGAGTTTGAAGTGATTTATGCATTAAAAAGGTAGGTATATGGTAAGGACATCCTAGATGGTCGTTAAACCTAGAAACTCATAAAAAACGGTCAAAATTTACTGTTTCAATGCGGTTTTTTTTCCTCTGCTCGACATCAGCGTGTGATAGTCACGATAACGCAAAAAAAGTAAACAAAGTTCATAAGTGCTGCACTCTAACGGACGAAATGATGCTGAAAAAAGGGGGCTACGGTACAGGACGCGAATTCCGCAGACAAGGCTGCTTGACGCAAAGACGGTCAATATTTTCACTTATTTGGATGAATATAACTGAAAATAATAAGTTAGGTACAAGTTGAGTGTGAATTTACAGCAGAAGTGGAAGTATTTAGATGCAAGATGATGGTTATGTAGCGTTAAAGTTGCGCACTTGAGTCACAGACAGGCTACGGTACAGGACATTTTAGCTGTTTAGGGCCAAAATTCTGATATTAAATGGCAAAAACTGCCTAAAACGATGTTGGGATCTGATTAAACGTAAAATTTTGAACAAATTTAAAAAAAAAAAAGGTCAGATTTTTCCATTTTGAAGGGCTAAAAAGTGGACAGACATGGTAGAGCAAAACTTATTTGATTCTACTCCAGGAATCAAGTTAAAAAAACTTGAAACTGTCGGTAAATAAAAGTTTAGCGAGTTTTGGCCCCAGAGTTCAGAAGTGAATTTTAAAAATTTTCAAAGTGAGCCACATTCTTTTTGCTTTTTCGCATTCCATGGTTGCAAGAAAGAGATAGTTTTGCATCGGAAATTCAAACCTCAAAATTCCCCCTCTTTCCATACTCTCTACCCCCTTATTTATTATTTTGTCAGTTTGATTTCCAATATCTGGTATCAATTTTGATTTATGTTTTTGTTCAGTAATCTTTTTTTTTCATTCTTTTTATAATTTGTTTCATTTTGAGTTTTTAGTAGTTTTTGTGCATGGGTTTTTGTTTTTTTGTTACAATTTAAGTTATCAGCCCTGAGTTAATCCAAGAGGTGGAGACCCGAATGAGGAGGAAATATACTCCTCCCCCTTTGCCTCTTCTATCTACTTCCTTGCGTCATCCTCGCATCTTACCCCAAGCGCCTGTTCTTCCAACTGTTCAGGAGTCTCAGCGAGTGTCTGGTAAGTCTAAATATTTTAAGTTTATGTAATGATTTTTTCTCCTCCTTTTTTCTTTCTTTCCAAATGCTTATTACATGTTAAATCCGTGCTTTTTTCTCTCTATTTTGACTGCCCCAGATTCAATAAAAAATCAGAGCAACTGTGCGTGTTAAAACAAAGCACACACAGGACATTGCCTTGATTACAGCAGCAGTGGTGCATTCTATTGGAAAATGTAAGTAACTGTTAGTTCGGGTTGAAGCCTGCAGACTGTGCATTGCGGAAAAAGAGATCTTTTCAAGTCAAGCCGATCGTAAGTGATGGTCTCTACGTGGCAGCTGGTGTGTTAATTTCAAAGTGATGATGGTCAAAATTAACTCTGTTCGTTGCTTTACGGCAAATAAAAATGATCTGGCAGGTCAGAACCTTGTAGTTTCATGGTAAACTTCTATTTTTGGCGAAAAGAAATTTTAATAATAATTTTGTGGTGTATAATTACCATATAATTATGTATAATTTATAGTGGTAGTTACAAATTCGTATGATTATGTATAATTTTTAATGATAGTTAAAAATGCGTATAATTGTATAATTTTTAATGGTAGTTAAACATTTAAAAAAATCATTTGTAAAATTTTGCCACTTTATCTAAAGTCTATCGTAACTGTTCCGAAGATGAGAAATTTCGTTCAAAGAGGCAAATTTGTCAAAAGCAAAATAGTCTCTCTCATACTCTTATTCTGGAGTGATTTTTACAGGCAAAATGTCTATTAAGAATCCCTAATTCAATGTTATCAATTAAGTAACTCTGAGTTTTTAAGACTAAGATCCCTCTGTCTGTAAACGGTCACAAATATTTTAAATATTTTCAAAACATTGTATTGCCAGTTCAGGATCTCAATCTCGATTAAACAGCACAACTTTCAGGTTTTGGTTTGTCCTTCCAATCAAACCAATTTTTTTCGACTCCTAGGTGCTGAAGAAGTCCGAAAATGCCCATATTAACTTCAGGAAAATGGTTTGGTGCCCAGGACGCCGCCATTTTGAATTTTCCAAAATTGAGAAAACTCACGATCAGAGTTTTGCCAATACTTCCTCAACGGTTTATCCCACAAAAAAAAAAAACAAAACAAAACAAAAAAACCAGCAGAAAGACCATAAAACTTTCTACCGGAATCATCCTCCTTTTTTGTTTCTAGCTTAATTTTTTGGTCGTGATATTAATGTTTTCTTCAAAAATTAGCTTAAAAAAAGGCGCATTTTTGCCGATTTTAGGAGAAACTTTGTTTCATATCTCCAGCCACGATTGTCTGAGAAAAAAAACTGTTGTGCTCATTGAAAAGAGCGTAAAATTTACTTTCAGAAAACATACATCAGTAGTTCCTAGACTTGATTTAATTCTGTGAAACAGTAATTTATTAGCTCCGCCCTTATATTGTGATTTTGTATATCATCTCCTTTAAAATCAAGAAAGAAAGAAAAAAAAACCTAAAAACGTGGCCCAAACTGTGTAATAAGGTGGTAAAATAGTGCTGGACCCACACTATTTGTGGAGGGAGGGGGGGGGGACAAAGCTCTAAAGTTCTAACATTTTCAATCAGTGCCAAATATTTTGAGCTCTAATTAGGATAAGTACTAAACTGATGGGGGAGAGTGTTCAGCCCAGCTGTAGTTTGCATTGGACTATTAAGTTGAGGTCATGCCGAGAGACCTATAATTTTGGGTATTTTCATACCTCATACAGATTTTTTCTCAGACAATCTTGGCTGGAGATATGAAGCAAAGTTTCTCTTAAAATCAACAAAAATGCGCCTTTTTTTAAGCTAATTTTTGAAGAAAACGTTGATATCGCGACCAAAAAATTAAGCTAGAAACAAAAAGGGAGGGCGATTCCGGTAGAAAATTTTATGGTCTTTCTGCTATTTTTTGGTTTTTTCGTGGGATAAACCGTTGAGGAGATTTTTGCAAAAATCTAATCGTGTGTTTTCTCAATTTTGGAAAATTCAAAATGCGGCGTCCTGAGCACCAAACCATTTCCCTGAAGTTAATACGGGCATTTTCGGATTTCTTCAGCACCTAGGAATCGAAAAAAATTTGTTTGGTTCGAAGGACAGAACTCTAACCCATGTTGAGCGGTGTTATCTTTGTTTCCCAATAAACGGTACTATCTTGATTGTTCTGTCAAGATGATTGGGATATAAATGCATTTGTATTATTGTATTGCTTTCATGGGCTTCGCTGTCTAATTTAATGATTGTTCGGGATTATTTTCAAACTTGTTTGTAATTTTTTTCCCCTCAAAGCAATCTAAAAACTTTGATATTGCATTAATATTACAAGGTATTCTCTCTATATTTGCGTCTGTCGCAAAAGCAAACTAGCGGCAAACTCCAACACCAAGCGTTGATAAATCTCGTCATTGACTTGTATATAAAATTGATTAGTTTGATTTTGAAATGCACACTGCTTTTTGTTTAAAATTGCGGAGTGAAAGCAAGGTTGGAGTGTAGGTAATCATGATGAGAAGCGACTGAAGTCAACTCTGACAAGGGGAATTTCTCAAGTTGCCGCCTGCGATCGCGCCGAAAAAAGTCGTACAAACTCTTTGGATGAATCCATTAGACCCGTGTGCTTTTGTTTTTTCCAATGCGCCCTGGAAGCACCCTAAAAAAATGCCAAAAATTCTTGTTTTGAGCGCGCGTCAGACAGAACAGCCAGTGACGCCGCGCCAGGAGGGCTAGGCAAGGCGCAGGAGCACTGGAGTCTATATGCGCTGTTCAGCCGTTCTACTCCCATCCATAACCGGTGGTGGCTCTGCGGTTGAGTGTTCGTCTTGCAGCCATGTGAACTTGGGTTCAATTCTTGATCCAAGCTAGTTCTGTTTTATGATCAAGTTTTATTTTCTCACACATTATCCGCAACAGCTTTTCACATGAAATCGCAATTAGTACATTGGAACTTAACATTCATTTTATTTACAACCATCACCAAACGCAAATTCAATGATTCATAACTTCATCAATTATAACTATAGATGCTTTTTTTTTAATTTTCGAAGTAATTTTCTCATTATTTTTTTCTCGACAATGATGAGAAAAAAAATCATGACATACATGGCCGATCGGCTTNGGGGGGGGGGGGGTGTTGGCTGGAAGAAATATGTTGGTGTGAAGGGGACCGGGCTGGCGGCTAATGTGAAAGAGCAGTGATTGGCGAGATAATCGCGCGCATAAAAAGAAAAGAAAAAAGCATCTTAAGTTAAAATTGAAGAAGACACAGATCATTGATGAATTCGTGTTTGGTGATGGTGGTAAATTAAATTAATGTTAAGATCCAATGTATTGATTGTGATTTCATGTGAAGTGTTGTTGCGGAAAATGTGTGAGAAAATAAAACTCGATCATAAAACAGAACTAGCTCGGATCGAGAATTCAACCCGAGTTAACATGATTGCAAAGTGAGCACCCCACCGTAGAGCCACCACTGGTTGTGAGAGTAGAACGGCTTAACAGCCTATATAGACTCGATCACTCCTGCGCCTTGCCGAGCCCTCCTGGCGCAGTGTCACTGGCTATGGCTGTCCGACATGCGCTCAAAACAAGAATTTTCAGCATTTTTTTAGGGTGCTTCCAGGGTGCATTGATAAAAACAAAAGAACACGGGTCTAATGGATTCATCCAAAGAGTTCGTACGAATTTTTTCGGCGCGATCGGAGGCGGCAACTTGGGAAGTTCCCCTTGTGAGTAAATCCACTATAGTGAGGAGCGGATTATACTCCATTTCATAGTCGATATAGAACAAATAGTACACCATCCACGACACGCTGTGCGATGATCCATACCGAATTTGAATTTTTTTTTTTCAAATTCTTTAACGATCATAAAGGTGATAATCAACTGAGCAACTCGTATTAACATGTGAAGTTGAAGTCTGCCTTGCTCAGGACACAGAGGGAATTTAAGAGGGCTCTGAAATAGCTACCCCTTTTTATGAGTAGATCATTCACTAACAGGAAAATCTTAATACCGATTAAAAATATAAATACAGGAGGTAAGACTAACTAACGGCAACCCACAAGAGGCCCTGTAGTTAGTCCATCATTCTCTCTCTTACAACCATACCTCTCTTGTTAGTTCATAACAGCCACCAGCCAGTGCCAGTGCCAGTGAAAGTCTAAAAGGAGAGTTTTTGAAGAGTCTACGGCAAAAATCCATTTCAATCAATGGAGTTGCTCCATTTTCTCTTCGTCTGTTTTGTCTATTGCTTTGTCTATGAATTTCTTAAATGCAAATGCATTTGTCACTTTGCATTTAAGCTCATAACCCTGTGAGTTGTTTGTGGACACATTTGCAATGTACACAAAATCCTAAAGAAGGTTTTTGTCCTGTATCCATTGAGATGAAGACGCGCTTAATTTGTTTTATCATTCATTTTCAACTCATTGTTTCATACTGAAAAAAAGTTTTACTTTTTAAAGTTGGGCGTGAAAGTCTGAAGGAAAGTTCATCGTCATACTTGGTTCAAGAGAGATATAGTCCAGTCCGTAGAGCAAGTGAAGGCACACCGTGTAATCATGAAGCTTCAGAATCCTCTCTTAAAATTATTCAACAAGAATATCAGTTACTTCAGGTAAGAATTACTCTAACACATTTTCCACTGTTTCTTAATCAATGATCATTCTAAATGATTTTAATGTCAAATTTGGGAGTTCGTTTAAGCTGGATATTTAGCATTCTCTTAGCGCATAGTCCAATTCTCTGCCTTTTTCTTTGTTTTATTCTTGATAGGATTCAGCTAAGGCCTGAAGTGACTAGTGTAGCAAGTTGTGGAACAAGCGCAGAGCGTTGGTCATGGAATAGAAACCCCTTGCCTGGCTGAGAAGGCTGGCTTGTCATCCCATTAATTTTTCATTGGTTTGATCAATTAATTGAACGCTGTGATGTACATTATCAGCAGCACCTTATTCTTGCTATGAAAAGGGTCAACGGGAATAAATAATGCTTTGAAGTATTTGAATTAATAAGAACTGTATTTTTTATGGAGGTAAATAATCATAATTAAAAGGTTCTGAGATCTTAATCTAAAACTTCATTAATTTTTTTTTGTTCTTTTGTATGGCAAATGAATTTTCCTGATACCATGATCTAAAGTGAGTTGTCAGTCAGGGAAAAGTATCAGACTTTAAGTTGTTTCAAGAGCTTTAAGCTCCTTACCCATGAAAAGTCAACATTATGATCACTTAAAACCAATTTCTTTTCTACCTTTTTTTTGTGTGTGTCTTGAATGTATTTTTCGTTGTAGAGAGTAAATTCTGAATTTGAATTACGAGAGTCTAATGACTTGAAAAGCCAGTAATCATAATATAGCGAAAATTTTCTTCAAAGAAATAATGAGAAAATTCCAAGATCCAAATCTCTTGTTCAGAATGAGAAAACTTTTTTAGAACAATTAATTTTTTAGTACCATCTTAAAAATTGCCGTAAGTTTGATTTTCCATTGAATTAAAATCTATAACCCATTACGACGGTGTAAGTCGGCAATCTCATAACTCGATTTGCAACATCGCAGACTTCCAGTCATACGTTATTTTTTAAACGGAAAACTACACAACAGCAGCTCTTTACAATAATTGCTGTAAGTTTTCTTCTCTGTGCAAAGAAGATTCTGCATGAACTTCAAGGAATGATGTCAATTTGTTCTCCTTTAAAAAAATAATACAGAGACGGAGATTTTCAGACACCGCAAACGAGTTATGTAATTGCTGACTTATACCGTCGATAATCAATCTGAAAAATAACAGGAGAAACTTTTTAATTGCAGAAGAGCAGTGGAAATAGTCTGGACTCGAGGGTTCAAGCTGAATTGCAGCAAAAACACATGCAGCATCTACTTACTGTCAAGCCCCCTTCTCCGTCCTCACCGCTTTCAGGTAATGACTGAACATCTATAATTTTACGAAGCCTGTTCCCATGTACCAGTCCATCTAATGGACATACTCATGCTAAATAGAACTACAGTGGATATCTCATATAATGACATATTGGTCATAGCGACGCAATCTCTCCGGTCCCGGCCAAAACTCCATTAGATCAATGTATTTAGGTATCGGATATAATGACGACGCTTATAGCGACATATCGGTCATAGCGACGAAGTTTCCTCGGAATTTTGGGTCTTGTTATCAGTCACAGCGACCGGAGAGCAGCAAAGTGGCTTTTTTTGGTGTTGCTGTCCAGAATGGTACGACTTGGCATTTGTAAACTCATCAAACTTGACCCATAAATCGGTGCAAATGGCGTACATCAATACTTTTGTTGAAACAGAAGAAAATTATGTACTATTTTTCAATTTAACTCATTTTTGGTTTTTTCATTGAATCGTTTTTTAAAAAAAAAATTGAAGTTTAAAGTGTGTAAAGTTTTTTTTATTAAAAATATTAAAGGTTTAAAACAATCAAATTGATACAATAATAGTGTTTTAATAAATAAATAAATAAATTAAAATTTTGTGTATCTACAAACTCTTAGTTTTTTTGAAGTTTTTCTTTCGCAAAATAAGGGTGAAACTTACATGATAATTTTACATTAAGAATTTAAAAGAAAACACAGGATACATGGTTCAATGGCGCAATTCTAACTCATCAACTTCTAATGACAGTGCAGCCTCATTCTCCGCCTTCAAACTGTGGAGATTGCGTAAAAAATCAACTATCGGTTATTATGACTATCGGCTATAACGACCAAATTATGCCGGTCCCTGCAAGTATGTGTAAGTGGAAAGATGGGGTGTGCTCGTTAGTTGAGGGCCATCAGAATGAATGGGGATTTGAAGTCCAGTGACATCAGTGGTGACAAGCGGGCTCAACTGTGACGACAACGAGCGGGGCGCTTTAACTCATGAGCCGTGTCCACAAGGCTCTTGTCACATGTCCACGGCTGACGCGTTAGCGCTCGGTTCCTTTTGACTTTATGTCAAATCCCCCTTTTCCATTTTCTCAAAAGGAACCATATCCACTTTTACATTGTCTCTTATCCAGCTTCCACGAGTACACCCCATAATTCCACTTGCTTATAGTTCCTTTTAGCATAAATACGTCCTAATGTCACCTGGAGGTTTTTATTAACCTTTTCTTACCACTTTCAAGAAAGCATTTTACAGTTCATCTAATGCTTCATGACAACATCCCTAGAATTTGATAGGTGATGACAATTATTTTAGTCACTGAAAGTGGGCCATAGTCAGCACCGAGATAAAACAAAGTATCTATTAGACTAAATTTTGCAATGGACCACTAGACAAGGTACGAGTTTAAGCAATCTGATACAAGTTTCTTATCCAGAATTTTACGTAAAACACGATTCGCACAACGCAAAATACTGAAACCAACTCCTAACAAAGATATCAACGTTTTTATTTCACATTGGTTACGAGGAATTTGAACTGCCCGCTCACAAGAAACTCAAAGCTCTACGTGAGTCAAATCGCGCAGTACAACGGTTTCAGCAAGCTCCTCAATCGAGCAATGTTCATTTCCCACCAAGTGTTCTTCAAACTATAAGCAATTTGCTATAGCTGAGCCAAAGCGTCAAGACACGTTGCCAGATTTTTATATCGCAGAGACTGTCATGATAATGTTTAGCGCACGATGTGAATCATGTAGAGCATTGAGTTTTAATGAGCGGGTGGTTTGAATTGACGCATCAGGAATCATTCGATATCTTTGAAAAGAGTTGATTTCGGTAATTTTTGTCATGCGCATCGTGTTTTACGTGAAATTTTGGTTAAGAAACATGTATCAGAATGCTGAAATTCGTACCTTGTCTAGTGGTCCATTAGGAACCACTATTTGTGACATCCACAAAAGGACGTATCTGCATTGGGGACTAATGGCATGTATGTAGTTCCTAAAAAGGGGCAGTTATAGTAGTTCCTAAAATGGGGCAGTTATAGTAGTTCCTAAAATGGGGCAGTTATAGTAGTTCCTAAAATGGGGCAGTTATAGTAGTTCCTAATTGCAAAATGTAATTCCTCTGAAAATTGAGTTTACATTTTATGACCCGAAAAACGCCCAAAAATGTCAAACAAAACGGGAAAAGGTGACTTGAAGTTTTTCGTCCAAAACATGTAGTTCCAAAATAAGCTGTTTAAATTTCCAGTCTGCCATATTTTGGGCACAAATTGCCTAATATTTTGCAACCTCATGCTCTTTATTGGCACAAAAATGAACTAACCACTCACTGCTTATATATCAAGAATTGATGTTGAAATTGGCTCATTCGATGACTTGTACCCATCATAACACCTGACCTTGATATATTGATCGCATGGTTTGATCGTGTGACATAAGCTCAGAGACAGTCCTCTGTTGAGATCTCCTCATCTGACTTTTCCACCAAAGGCTGTAATCATGCTACTCAACATTTTGCCCTTAAGATCTGAGACTGAATAACAAGGGGCTAACCCCCCCCCCCCCCCCCCCCCNAGATGGAGCGAAGCGGAGCGAAGCGGAGCGCCGGTTTTTACAATTTTTGATCACACACTTATAACTCCTTTTCAACTCAAATGAGAATGCCTCTGCCAGTTTAACCATGTATTACAGTTGATGATTTCTTTGTTTTTATTCAGGATTACCATATGTGACACAGGGCAGTATGAATTTGACCCACCATATGCAGTCATTACACCTCCAGCAAAGCAATTCATCTCCCCTTAGCACTCCTAGACTAAGTCCATCTCCTCCATCAACCTCTCCAACTCATGGTAAGATATTTTTTCAGACTTAATACATTTTTTCTGATATCCCCTTTCCTAAATATTATAATACCTTTTTTCTGATATCCCATTCCCTAAATAGGACGCACCGACAACGTATTCTCGTAGTCATACTCTACTCAGAAGTAGGTGTAACTATTTTCCTTAGCTCTGGCTTTACCTATCGCGCGGTATTAATGGACCACTCGACTAGGTACAAATTTAAGCATTATGATACATGTTCTCTCATCAAAATTTCATGTAAAACACTCTTTGTACTATGGAAATTACTAAAAGTAACTCCTGACAAGGATTTCAAAGTTTTCCAATGCATGAGTTCAAACTTCCTGCTTAAAAAAAACCATAATCGTCAAATCGCTTACTGAACGTTACGGTGACAGCCTTTGATGTAAGAAAATATGACAACCGAAATATAGGTGTTGAGACTCAGCTGTTGCTTCTTGATTACACTTGGAACCACACAGGGTAGGGAAGGAACACTGCTTGATTATGAAGTCTGCTAAAAAAGTTGTAGTATGCGATTTACCTCATGCTGACTCTGGTTTTTTTTGCAAGCAGGAAATTCAAATTATTCCGAACCAATGCCAAAAAAAATGTCAGTGTCTTGGTCGAGAATCAGTCTCAGTCATTTTCATCGCACGAATCATATTCTATGTGAAACAAAGAGAGCTGCATTACTTTGTCCCCTCTTTCTCTCTCTTCACTGTTTCTCATTCTCTACTTAATTTTTCATTTATTTTTATCCCCCCCCCCCCTTTCATGCACGGACAGGACTAGAGCTGTAGGTTGTTTTTCACTCAACACCAAGTGGTGATCCGTTGCCTACAAGAAATGAGATGCCCTAAGTTTCTCCTATGATGTCACCAAACTTAGCAAACAAACTTTTAGTCGGATCGATGATGATTTCAGCAGAAAATAACCAAGGACTTTGTCTTGTTTTAAAAGCACCGATTCTTATTGAGAAACGAATCATAGGTATGATGTTTTTGAATGAAGTCGATAGCGCAAAGGTCACCTGGGGCAGAGCGTAAAATAGGGAATTGGGTGAGGAAGTGCTGTATTAGCATCAGTGTCTCAGGTCTATCTGACAGATGGTGTAAAAAAAAACAACTAAATAGTCGGTAACTCTCTGCTGAATGAGATACAGTCAATCTTCTCTTTATTAATATCACCCGTTTTACATTTTTTCCCAATAGAATTGTAGTGCATTGTAAGATTTGCGATGATTTTGTAACTCTGGTCATGTTCCGCAACTTTCATGCTGGGATAAAATTATTTTTTACGTGCAATGAAATCTTAGCTCTTAGTGCTCTTTATTACCAAGCATGCCTGAATTTTTCCTTTGGTTACCTGTTCAGGTGCTAATGTTGGCTCTATATCACAAGGCACAGCAATTCAACAGCAAATGAGCCCACTTGATCTCCGAGTGACTCACTCTCCTCCTAATTCACAGCTCCAACTGACGATCATTGAAGAAGAACATAGTATGTATCTAACATTTTTTATTTTTCACTTCAGTAGAACTTAGAACCTGATATGCTAATTAAATATGTATTATTACGTATATATGCTAAAAAGAATTTTGTTGCAAGCAAATCCCATGCACACATCAATGGCTGAGGACCAATACCGCTGAACTAACAATTTTGGCGAAAATGAGCTAGCAACGGTGCCGCATTCTACAGTACCCAATGGGCAAGCCGATGCAGTTAATTTTGTCTTCTTCCCCAAGGAAGCCATGTAATGATGCTGTAAAGTATAAAAAAATTGCAAACCTGACGTCAAATTACAAAAATGGCTAATTGTAAGTTCTTTCTTTGTCCTTTAAAATTATCAGTTTGCACAAAAGCGGTATGATCCTCAGCTATCTGTTCTTATGAACATAAATTTGTCTAAGTATGAGGGTACAAAAATAGCAGAGGTAATTCCAAAAATGGCTGATAGTTAAAATATGCAGCACATTAGTACTTCAACTTATGGATTTATGCAGGTATTATTTGTTGTTTTTATTTTTCTTCAAATACATGATGGGGACAGTAGTTAGTAAAACAACCATTCATCTTTATTCCTTTTTGAATATTATGCGGAAATATTTTGACTCGATAAATTCTGCCTGGAAACTAGCTTAACATCGTTCCAAATCCATAATTACAGATTAAATTTGATGGATAAAATTGGGAAATTAATCTTTCACCGCCGCAAAGGTAGTAGCTGAATTTTCCAGATCAGGAATAGAAATAATATTTACATTCATAGCATGGCTGAACTTCAAGACCATGGCATTCCAATGGCAACCTTTTAAAGAGGGTTATTCAAAATCGGCGATTTTACCCTACGCTTGGATTTTGCCCGGAGTTGGATATGTTGTTCCCTATCACAAAACACGCATTTTTCCGGCATTGGCAAGTTCACCCGAAATTTTTCCCGCGCGCTACAGCGTTGCCAAGTTGAAAACAGGCAAATTCCGTAAGTGGCATCAAAATTGAGCTATGAAGTTGCGGTTTTAACGAAAATTCTCTAAAAATTACGCACTTTTAGGAAATGACCATGTTTTTAATGTCGCATTAATTTTAACATGCATTATTGCCAAATTTCCGATTTTTAAATTCGACAAATGTTACATATCCGCAAATACCCAAAAAGGCTATCTTCAAATTTGAATAAAAAGTTGTCTAATCGATAGTTCGTTCGATTCCGCATCCATCGATATATTATAGCTCGCTGGGAAACTTTTGGTTCGCGAGATAGCATCATTTTTGTGAACAGCTTTATGGAGCGACGATACTTTTTGAGTCCGGGCGGATAGAAATTTTAGCCTCCAAAAACACCGGGTAGCATTAATTCCATGGTTTCCTATGTAATTTTTGGCGCTGAATCCGAATTTGACCATTTCATAAAAAAATTGTCACCAAGATGTTGCCAAATTTGGCAAAAATTGCTTAAAATCGGCCTTTTTGGCGGATTATAGCCTGTGACTTGCCAGGAGTTGATCACACGACAAAATTGGTTATTTCCACAGTTAAAACTCGTTAAACTATCTACAAGCTGAGTCAAATTCTTTCTGCTCACGGTAAAATTAAACGCGCGACAAGCAGCAAACTGAAAAAAAGACACCAAAATTGGCGCTTTTGCGGTTTTTGTCGTAAATTTCTTGTCTTCCGATTAAGAGAGTGTTTCTTGACTATACTAATGAACAACATGAGCAGAATTTAATAAAATTGAACAATAAAATAAGATCGAACATATTCCAATGTTGCCAAGCTTAAACAAAATACTTTAACTCGAGGTTTTTATCGTAAGTTTCTTGTTTTCCGATTAAGAGAATGTTTCTTAGGAAAATCTGAATTACGCCGAGTGTAACGACAAACTATTGTATTGTTATATAATATATAGATAAAGAGCCGCTTTAACAGCAATCTCTCGGGCCCCGCGACGCCTAACCGCCATAGTCCCTTATCCACCCACAGGTCCTCAGTAATTTGGAGCGCCCTTGTTCCTTTTTAAGCCCCTTATTGTCCTTTCCTGGGCGTCTTCTTCAGTTTGGTGTCGTTACTTTTTTCTATTAAACTCCATTATCTCAGAAAATGAAAATTGTATCTCAGAAAATTGTATACTAAATATAGGGTAATGAATAATGACGGTCAAATACCGCCAAAATTCAAGGATTTGTACGTAATTTTGGCAATATTGCAATGCGTCTTGTCTTGTTTTAATGAAGTCAGTCTGAGGAGTACATTTTATTCATTAATTTTTAGCAGAAAATTTTCCATTATTGTTTCAAAATGTGGTTTATTGACACGATTCGATAAAACTCACTATTTTATGAATTTTTCCTCTCTGAACTAAATACCCTAGTTATTAGTATATATCTAAGTTGTAAATTAAATTATTCTACAGAAGTGTATTATTTTGCAAGAGAGATACATTTATAAAATTGAAAAATAAGAGGTGAACAAAGAATATAGGACAATAATATCGAAAAAACCAGCGAAAATTAAAGTATTTTGTTTAAGCTTGGCAACATTGGAATATGTTCGATCTTATTTTATTGTTCAATTTTATTAAATTCTGCTCATGTTGTTCATTAGTATAGTCAAGAAACACTCTCTTAATCGGAAGACAAGAAATTTACGACAAAAACCGCAAAAGCGCCAATTTTGGTGTCTTTTTTTCAGTTTGCTGCTTGTCGCGCGTTTAATTTTACCGTGAGCAGAAAGAATTTGACTCAGCTTGTAGATAGTTTAACGAGTTTTAACTGTGGAAATAACCAATTTTGTCGTGTGATCAACTCCTGGCAAGTCACAGGCTATAATCCGCCAAAAAGGCCGATTTTAAGCAATTTTTGCCAAATTTGGCAACATCTTGGTGACAATTTTTTTATGAAATGGTCAAATTCGGATTCAGCGCCAAAAATTACATAGGAAACCATGGAATTAATGCTACCCGGTGTTTTTGGAGGCTAAAATTTCTATCCGCCCGGACTCAAAAAGTGTCGTCGCTCCATAAAGCTGTTCACAAAAATGATGATATCTCGCGAACCAAAAGTTTCCCAGCGAGCTATAATATATCGATGGATGCGGAATCGAACGAACTATCGATTAGACAACTTTTTATTCAAATTTGAAGATAGCCTTTTTGGGTATTTGCGGATATGTAACATTTGTCGAATTTAAAAATCGGAAATTTGGCAATAATGCATGTTAAAATTAATGCGACATTAAAAACATGGTCATTTCCTAAAAGTGCGTAATTTTTAGAGAATTTTCGTTAAAACCGCAACTTCATAGCTCAATTTTGATGCCACTTACGGAATTTGCCTGTTTTCAACTTGGCAACGCCGTAGCGCGCGGGAAAAATTTCGGGTGAACTTGCCAATGCCGAAAAAATGCGTGTTTTGTGATAGGGAACAACATATCCAACTCCAGGCAAAATCCAAGCGTAGGGTAAAATCGCCGATTTTAAATAAACCTCTTTTCTACAATTAGATTTTTTTTCCAAAGAAGAGACCAACACTACGACTACAGAGTGACCTGATATCTCATTCGAATGATCATAAACTGGTCAAAAAAATGGCAAAAGTTTCAAGACATCAGGTTGATTTGTTTTCCCTCTCAAAAGTAAAGTGTATGCTGAAATTTGGAGACATTGCAAATTAGTCGAGGGGCTACGAAGTCACTTTCGCATGCCACCCTACAACTTTCAGGGTGTCCTCTAGGGTCCCTGAGACACCTTTTCCCAGCAATCAAAATGACTGCACCCCGGGCAACATATTCAAAATGACGACCTTGTCCAAAATGAAAGGGTCTGGAGGTGCTCCCGAAAATCTATGATTTACTCCAAAATTTTCACAGATATTCAAAATTGTCAAAGGACCAAAAATATTCAGCACAATATTTTACACAAGGCATCGCTGAGTTTGGACCTCTGAGCCCCTTAACTTTGAGAAAAAATTTACTTCTCCCCCAAAGTATCGGAATTTTTGTAAAATTCTGAAAAATTTACATGAACATTGCTATAACCCCAGTGACTCTACTGCTTCAACTTAGTGCCAAAAAACTTCTTCATACCCTCTGGTTACATGATCCGTCAAGTTCAAACCTGCAAGAACCACCACTCCAGTAAATTAAGCGACGAATTTAATATTTTGCAATTTCCAGTTTAGTGACATTTTCAAAGAAACTTGTGTTCCAAGTTCCAGTCAGTGGAGACATTGTAATAACTGCCTCAGTCTCATCATTATATTGCCTGTTGCACGGTGTGTAAAATCCAAGATGGCGGCCGTAATGACCTTTCAGGAAGACACAAAGAGGTGTGTAAGAAAACGGCCAAAAATGCCTCAAGGCATTCTCGAATTTTGAACACTTGGGGTGATGCAATATCTTTCGAGACGCCCAAAACAGGTCGCCGTTTTGCTTAGAAGTGCTGGGTTGCGCCGTTGCCATTTTCTAAAGTGGAAACCTTCAAAAATTCATATTTCAGCTGCATCTCAACCGATTTCAATGAACTTTTTATAAAAATTCCTCTTAAATAAAGCTTTCTAATGGTGTATAGTTTTTTGGGGTTTACTTGGCTTTAAGCGGCACTTGCGCGGTTTAAGCAGTTTCTGATAGACACAAACATTTTGTTTTTATTTTACCATGATCGTGGAATCGACGGAATCTAAACAAAAACCAGTTCAAATGAGAGTTCAGGTTTTCATTTTTCTAACAAGCACAAGATTATCCTGGGGAAACGTTTAGTTTCCGAGACATGACCGCTCAAAGTTGGTCGCATGCGCTTTTGCGCAATGTGAATGCATCTTATCACTGTCAGGACTGCAAGGCGTTGAATCATTCGTGAACCAGGGGTCCCTTACGTTCAATTTACGTCGGAATAATTACACAGAGCAGTAAGGTGTCCAACACGAGCCGTTTTTTCACCTTGGGCTGCCGATGTGCGACGTTGATATTTTTTAAAGTGAAAACCCTTGAAAATGCATAACTCCACTGCATGTCAATCGATTTCAATGAACTTTTTTTTTAAAAATGTTCCTTTTAAATAGAGCTTTCTAATGGTATGTAGGTTTCTGGATTTTATTTACCTTAGGGAGGCACTCAAGCCGTTTACATGGTTCTTTGCAGAGATTTTTCATACAAAAAATAGTGTTGCTATTTTTTTTGGGGTCAATTTTCCGAATCTGGATGAGAAGTCATCCCAAGTATCAGGATAAGGCCTAAATTCAATATGGCGATCAAAATGACCCTTATAGAATAAAATAAATTCCATCCGAAATGTGTCGTGTAAGATCTCGATTGCAATATACTTTTGGTCGTAAAATCCAAATATGCGATCAGATATTAACCGCAACATCAGGGTTATGCCTAAATCCAATGTGGCGGTCAAAACGACCCTCTCAGAATAAAGAAAAAAAAAATCTGTTGGTGACATGCCACGTAAGGTATCAATTATTGTGTATTTCCAGTTGTAAAACCCGATTTGGCGGCCAGGAATGATCCTCAACATCAGGGTTATGGTCCTTGGTCAATTTTGCATGTCTATGAAAATTTTCGAGTAAATCGTTGATTTTTGGGAGCATCTACGGACCCTTCCATTTTGGACAAGACGGCCATTTTGAATAGGTTGTCCCGGGGTGCCAACATTTTGATCGCTGGAAAAATGTGTCCCAGGGACCCTAGAAGATACCCTGAAAGTTTCAGGGTGGCATGCGAAAGTGACTTGGTGGCCCCTAGACTAAAAAAAAATGTATGCTGTTTCTGAGTGTAGCCAACTGCAATTTTTCTAATCAACATTCTTTTGTCAAATACTGACATTTAATTAAAATCTGTAAGGGATGAGAATAAAGACTCTGTAAAAACAAAATTGTGTAACGCATTCCTTGACTCCTTTGCCCCCTTGAGTATCACATAATTTATGAACGTCCTCTTAGTAAAGTTGCACAATTGAAAACCCTGGTGATGAAAAATTTCTTAACAATTCTTCTCAATTCTTTTGCAGATGGACCCCAGCGAGTTCAACTCTCAACAAATCCTCAGATATCTGTGACGGACGAATTAGGAAGTCTAGTGCCTCTAGAGGATGACATTCCAATGGACTGTTGTCCTGACTCGTACATATCTCCTACTGAAACTGTGCCTTGTTTTGTAATTTCCCCTTGTGATCTCACCCAACCATCAATAACCCGTGGTATTGGTAGGTCCCAAAACAGTCATCAACACTCTATTTCTAGCCAAGAAAGTGAGTATCCAGATCAGAAAAATAGCCTTTATTCTAAGTCCTTTCTAGAATTCAATGAGAATATTAATGAGAATGAGCTAAACTGCAAAAAGTTCCCAGTATTTGCCGCTGACTTGCACAAAACTTCTAGCGGCTCTTTTGAAGTCGCTCTGTCAGACGTTTGTTCTAGACTAGGTGCTCCTGAAATTGTAAATTTGATCAAGAAAGCAGTCAACGCGCAGGTGCGGCACAATGTCCTTGAGTTTCCAACCGGACTTCAGATTGAGCTTGAAGTTCGGAGCACTATCTCAGGTTCTTCCCAGCTTAAAATTCGGCGAGTTTCTGGCGATCTTGGAGAGTATGATGCACTGTGTTACCACCTCGTCACTGCCATGTCAGCTTAATTTCAATGCAATTGTGTTTCTCAAAATTTGGAAGCTCGTCAGACTTTATCAGCTTGTTCCTTTGCAACAGTCAGAACACATGTAACTGAAAACTTGGAAATTTTTTCTATATTTTTGTCTGTACCTCTGTAATTTCAATTCATCTGTATTTAAATCTCTTCCCATGCAAGGTCGAACAAAAACTTTTAAGCATTTTTCATCCAATTGACTAACTTGTAACAAGTTTCTAGCAAGTTTCATGCAAACAAAATAAAGCATTTTATCTTAAGTTTACTCTGTGTTAAATCAGTGCCAATACAGATAAACTTCCCTGAATTTTTGTAAAAATTCAACCTATTCAAAGAATCCTAATTATAAATGAAGGAATATTTTGTTCAATTGAAAGCAAAATTAAGTATGAAATAAATCATAAAATCAATGGAATTTCCACAAGAAAAATATCCATGTAATATGTAACACATTTTTGCAAAAAATAGAATGATGCTAGTGTTTGGTCTCAAAAGAACTCTCAAGCTTGAATAAAGCTCTCAAAGTCAAGGTCTCACAATGCGGATATAGTAGGGTACTATGAGAGGTTTCTCTGCGTTTTCACAATTAAATTGTCTGTGTAGCGCATGGTGCATTTAAATGAATATTATAAGAAAAGCCTTTGCACTTACGACTCCTTTTTGGAATCATGAGGTGAGGTGTAAACTTTAAATTTAATTCAAAAATTGAATAAAAACAGTTAAGCTCGGAGAAAGTAAATTCGTTTTTATGGGTTTTAAGCCCAGATTGACTACAAGCTGCTGTTTCAGAGCAGGAATATTCTAGGGGAAAAAATAGGTTCATTATGATGTTTCTAATGAAAGTGCATTGGTTTTAACATGAATTCCTCATGTTACTTTATGTAAAGCTGGTGTTCCCACTCACTCTGCCCCTCTTAGAGAAAAATTGGCCAAAGCAATTTTCTTTAAACTTGGTATACGCTTCGCTATTACCTGGAGGTACAAGGTTGTTCATGCGCACCGCACTGAACAGGTTGAATCAAGGTCGTGTCACATCACAGCAAAGCCACCGTGTGTCCTTTGTCGCATGTCTCGATCGCATTCGATCTTCAAACTGTGTGCCTCCCTCGCTAACTTTTCCATCCCTTTACTTCTTTCATGTGCATAGTGTTAGTCTGCCTGCACTTAAGTATCTCCTCAAAACTGTCTTCCATTTTTAACTGTATGTTTGTGTTCCATCTTATAGGTCATTCGCCTCACAGATTGTATGTTTTTTGACTTCCTCTCTGTTTTTTCTTTGCTCCTTTATTTTTGATCGATCTTTATGAAACTTGGTATTAATAAAAATAATAATAATAATCATCATCATAATAATAATAATGATAATAATAATAATAATAATATATCTCCAATGAGCCTGTCTTACAAATTTCTTCAGAGCAGGCAGTTGTTTCCGGAAACGGAAGGCTTTATACTCGCCATCCAGGATCAAGTCATTTGTACAAGAAACTATAGGAAATTCGTCATTAAAGATGGGACCGTTGATGACTCATGCAGGAAGTGTCATTTATGTCCTGAAACGATTGATCACATCACAGCAGGTTGCAGACTCCTAGCTGGTACCGAATACACCAGGAGACATAACTCAGTAGCCAAAATAATCCACCAAGGGTTTTCATTACATCGTAACCTGTTGGACAGTGTGCCTCCGTATTATGAATATAATCCTGAGTCAGTGCTGGAAAATGATGCCTATAAATTATATTGGGACTTTACCATCTATACCGACAAGACTATCCCGCACAATAGGCCAGATATGGTCCTTCTAAATAAAAATCAGGGCATTGCTCACCTAATGGATATCTCAGTCCCTGCTGATGCCAATGTAGATGCTAAGTATAGAGATAAGATCGAAAAGTATCTGCCCTTAGCAACTGAAATACAGCGACTGTGGAAGCTTAAAGAAGTAATTATTGTACCATTTATAATATCCGTCATGGGGATCACTCCTCATTCTTTCCTGAGACATCTGAAGCAGCTCCACTTAGGTGAAAACGTTCACACCCAAAGCCAGAAAGCTGCTATCCTGCACACCTGTAATATCACTAGATCTTTCCTAAACTCAGGGCAGTGACTGTATTTTTATTTTTAATTATGTGACCGACTGCTAACCTATGGTTTATGCTCTTCTATTTTAACAATTTTTTTTTTTTAAATTTTTAGCAACGTTTACGATTTTAACAACTTTTTTCGATTTTAACACCTTTTTACGATTTTAACTTTCAAATTTTAGCAATTTTAAAAGGCTCTAGCTTTGAAAGACTTGGCTACGGTCCGTCTTTCAATGAGTTTCTTTCCACAAACGTATTTTTGTGAGAAAAGTACTTATATATAATAATAATAATAATAATAATAATAATAATAATAATAATAATAATAATAATAATAATAATAATAATAATAATAATAATAATAATAATAATAATAATAATAACAATAACAATAACAATAACAATAACAATAACAATAACAATAACAACAACAACAACAACAACAACAACAACAACAACAACAACAACAACAACAACAACAACAACAACAACAACAACAACAACAACAACAACAACAACAACAACAACAACAACAACAATAACAATAACAATAACAATAACAATAACAATAACAATAACAATAACAATAATAATAATAATAATAGTAATAATAATTTATTTTATTTGTAAATGCACATTTATAACGGCGAAAACAAATATGTCAAAATTAGTTAGGATATAAGAAAAAAAAAAAAGGGAAAAGAGATTACAGAACTTAAGCTAAATATTCTGCTACACTATACAAACACTTGGCAATAAAAAATTGTTTTAGTACATTTAGAAAATTTGGGTCCCTGTATTTGGATTTTAGGTTTGCGGGAAGTTTTTCAAAAAATATTTGGCCGCGCCTTAGTGAGTGGCTGTTCCTTGTTGCATTTGTCATGGCATGGAATCTAGTGTTTATTTTATTATTACTGAGATTCGTAGGAGCTATAGAGCTATTCATATCAACTATAAAATTCGAAATGGACCTATAAATTACGAGGGAGGGAACGGATAGAATTTTGAGATCAATGAAATGATTTTTGCAGGACTCTCTTGGCGCTAATTTTAACATGGTTCTTAAAGCCTTCTTTTGGATGATGAAGACTTTTTCCAGGAGAGCAATTTTACAATTAGACCAAATAGTTACGCAATAGTTAATGTGGGACATAAATAGGGAGTGGTAAACTAACATAAGTACACTAATATCACAATATTTAGAGAGGACTTAAATTACAAATATGGCAGAGTGTAACTTGCTGCAGATGTTGTTTATATGGCTATCAAAATTTAGCTTATTGTCCAAAAGAATCCCCAAGTACTTCAATGTGGAGACCAATTCAATTTCTTGGTTGTCAATCAAGATGTTAAAGGAACCTACAATATTTTTGGTACTCAAAAGCATGTATTTAGTTTTGTCTACATTAAACTGGAAGAAATTCAAATCAGCCTATTGTCGGAAAATGTCCAGAAGAATAAAAACATCAATCTCTAATCTTGATAGATCCTTATTGCTAACCACAAAAAGCACATCATCGGCAAAAAGAAACATTATAAATAATGAGAGCACTAGGTTCAGAGATTTGGTTTTGACATACTGAGGCGCATCGTTGGCGAAGATTAGAAACAAGAGAGGTCCAATTACTGCTCTCTGTGGGATACCGCCTAAAATCTTAGCAAATTTGGACCTAAAAAAGGAACTACCATTGGTTTCTGAACATACTGATGCCTGTCTGAGAGGTAGCTGTAAATAAGATTGATAGCTGGTTCACTGAGTCCAAATTTCTTTAGTTTGATTTTCAAGAGGCCATGGTGGACGGAGTCAAAAGCCTTCTTTAAGTCTACTGCCACCGCAACTGAATATAATTTCTTGTTGTTGGTGAATGGATCATGACAACAAGCGATGGCATTTTCGGTACTGCCTTTTGGTCGAAAGCCATATTGATGTTTTTACAGCAGGTTATTTGTTTGAATAAATTTGTTGATTTGTTTACATAAAGCATGCTCATAGACTTTGGAGATTGGCGAAATTTGCGCAAGTGGTCTATAGTTATTTACATCTTGTTGATTACCGCTTTTGAACAGATGCGTAATTTTAACTGTTTTCAGTACATCAGGAAAATTGCAAGAAGAAAAGGTATCATTAATGCATACAGCCAGGGGGGCACTGATTTCCTACTTGATCTTTTTAACAAAGGCATTAGACAAACCAAGATGATCTTCAGATGTTTTATTATTTAAGTTATCAATAATTAATTCAACCGACCCAGAGTTGACAGGATTAGGATAAAAGCGGCTGGCTTATTGAGGTATGTAGTCATAATCAGAAGGTGTTGGAATCATGCTAGAAGTTTGCTCCATAATTGAAGCAAAGAAATTATTCATTGTGTTAGCAATCTCTGTCATGTTATCAATTTCCTTGCCGTCCTTAGCAATACTATGAATAATGCTCCCCATCCTTTTGGTAGGTCTGTGATTATTAATAATTCTCCAGGATTCCTTGGACACATTATTTGATTTTTTAATCATTGACTTAATTGAATCTGACTTAACATGATATGTATCATGTATCATGTATGATTGATCATGTGATGTATCATGTATGATGTATCATGTATGATTTATATTTAGACTTAATATCCTTAAGCTTATACTTAATAGCTAGATACAATTCTCTCTTAAAGTTTGGCGAGTCCCTGATTAACTTTAGCTCAGAAGAGAGGTCTCTGACAGTTGCGTAGTGTTCACGCTGGACCGTTTTATTTATGCTACTTTAGTCCTTGGTTGAATCTAGTCTTAATTTTTGGGAAAAAAGTTTCATGCGCTCCTACAATAAAATTAATAAAGTCAGTGGGAGTAACTCTCAGTAGATCCACAATCATATCGGAACAGCCAGCTTTCATGGTGGCCAAATTAACCGGGTCATATTTACGTGCATATTTGTAAATTGGAGACTCTGGTCTAGATGATTGAGCTTCGCCCTTCAAACTACAAAAAATTCCATGGTGATCAGATAAAGCAGTATACATTACAGAAGAAATTAGGTCTGAGGAGGGAAGATTAGTGAATAGATTATCGATTCTGGTAGCAGAATGGTCTGTGACCCTCGTATCTTCAAAAATAGTTGGTCTTAGATTCATAGAACTAAGTAAATTTGTCATTTCATTTGCTTGATTTGAGTCGATTTTAAGAT